TTATGGATATTCCCATTTTTAAATCCCCTAAAGATTGGCTAAGGGACCTAAGTAACTAAATATAGGCCACCATGTGTACGGATGATTATTGGCAAATGACCTTGAATAACATGGACCGAATAAAGTTGAAGTTCATACCTACTTTTACATTATCTCATTTTGTTTATATATTATTTCACTAAATAAGTTTTTATTCATTCAAAATCTGCTGATGAAGTTGGTTATTATTACCACATTGTAATTTTGTACCATGTACCAGTGTTTAAAGCATGGACGGGTGGCAAATCGATCTGTTTCCAATCCAATAAAATACTTGCCATCGGGCAATATCAATGTTAATAAGATAATCTGTTTTACTTCTTTGACTGAAACTTAACTTTAAAAACTGGAAATTATTATAAAATATTTCATAATACAAAAACATAAATCGGATACTTTCATCACCCACCTTTCACTTTCATTGATGCATAGAAAAGGGGAGATAACCCGTAAACCTAGTGACTAAGTACCGACACTGTATGGATGGATAAATAAATTCCGGCTTATCACATTTATAAGTTTTTTCCACAAAAAGGAGGTGAATGATGACATATAATAAAAGGATAGAGCTTTGATAACGGCGCATATTGTGAGATGAACTCAAATATGCGGTATTATTATTACACTTCAACAAACTTGATCTTACCTCTGATGTTCGAACACCAGGATTCCTTTCATTATTTCTTTTAATAGCACCTGCCTCTAGTCGACATTTTGCAGATCATTTTGACACTGTGTAACAAAATATTGTCTCATTTAATTTCATTCACTGGAATAAAAGAAGAGTTGCTGATAGGAGATAGGTATCGAAAAGCGTAATAGTCGTATGGATAGACACACAGACAGACAGGCGAACTGACGGACGGATCGAGGGACGGGCGGACATCCCGATCTTTATATAGTATTCCACTGTTAAAGCAGGAAGTATAAAATTTCCAGTCTATTACACATGTATCTTTCCACCGTCGATACCTTAAAAAACACCTATAAGACCTCTTTTATTACTTTAAACTTTAAAAAATCAGTTTATTGCATAAGTAAAATTGTTACAGTACATTATTTTTTTCAGATTTAGACATCTTGCGTTGTTTGAAGCCCCGCTTATCTCAATAAAAACAACAACAACAAAAAGGAAACAAAAAGAGAAGCAAATATAAAGGAATGTAGACAAATTAACGTGACTTTCCGGAATGGTTAGGATGCCTTATCGCTTTTCGTGACGTGCGCAGAATGGACAGTCCAGGGAGGGTCACTATACGAGGTATATAAAACCATAAGTGATAGTGACCTCTATCTTCTTCAGATCGGGGTTACACTGAAAGGTACAATTATACTAAATATATATCAAGATTCATTTTATAGAAGTATGTATACAAATGTTATATTACAGTGAAAGGTAAAATTATATTAAATATATATTAACATTCATTTTATAGAATTATATATAAAAATGTTTTTTTACGCTGAAAGGTACAATTATATTAAATGTATATTAACAGTCATTGTTCAATACATACAATACAAGGAGGAATATGGTTGGTGAGCAAAAATACTACTTGCTCCTCTTATTTTACTCGAATAAAAGAACTGTTCTGTAATAAAAAAAATTTTGGAGATTAACTCAGTCAACGAATTCATTTTTTGCTCATAAATTGAAGTCTCTCATCTGCAAATTTTGACACTGTGTAACAAAATATAATTGTCTCATTTAATTTCATTCATTGGAATAAAAGAAGAGTAGCGGATAGGAGATAGGTACCCAAAAGCGTTATAGTCGTATGAACAGACGCACAGACAGACAGGCGGACTGACGGACGGATCGAAGGACGGGCGGACATCCCGATCTTTATATACTCTTTTATTTTCTTTAAGCTTGATAATGAATTATCTTTGTTCAGAAAATATGGCTCCTTTAAATTCTAACATGTTGCTCCAGTTTATCTTATATTATTTGTATTAAATGTAATTGTAAAAGAAATCAAGTTAAAATGTCAAAAACTGTTGGGGCATGGTATTATTTTTTTTTTTATCAAAAACTGAAAATTAAACTTACAGTAAATACGTAAATTCATTTTAAAGGCTTAAAGCCATCGCGCAGTAGATTTAAAAAAAGAGGGAACTAGAATTTATCATCGTAAAGAAAGATATTTTCTGAACAAAGATACAAACATTTTTTGTTTCTCAAACTAAATCACTGCTCACGGCAGCTCAGTCGGTAGAGCAACCGCTCCATGGTTGGGATTTCGTAGGTTCAAAGGTTCAAATCTCGGCCGCGACTGACTTACGTGATGACGTTAGTTTTTCTATCGTCAAATTCTCTTACTTATGCAGCAATATACACTAATCATCTGCATATGGAGTTTATATATATATATATATATATATATATATATATATATATATATATATATATATATATATATATATATATATATATATATATATATATATATATATATATATATCATATATATATATATATATATATATATATATATATATATATATATATATATATATATATATATATATATATATATATAAAGCACTGAAAAACCAACAACACTGTATATCATAAATGTCGGATCTACCAAGTAGATACAAGGTCACGGATGGAAATTTATATAAAGCACTAAAAATGACCAACGACACGAACAATAAAAATTGTCAAATTTTCGGGACGCCCTGTCCCTTCCTCAGGACAAAGAAAAAAGTTAAAAAGTCATAAGAACAAAGAAAAAAGAGAAACAAAAACAACTAGCACTACTACTAAACTACTAAACACTAGATATTTACATACTTAATTACATGTTGAATTGGAAATTTTTAAGAACACTAATAAAGAAAGAAATCCGGACCGCTATGAAATGCGTCCGGTCTATCGGGTATATATATATATATTTAAATTTCTAAAATGAGGTATATTATTGACAAACAAGTTGATAAAAAAGAATTTCAGCAGTCTCGTTTAAAGTCATCATTTCGTAAATTCTATGGTCGATACAATGACCTTGTCAGCAATGTCACAACGCGAAATGTAATAACAACGCAAAATGTAATAAACCTGGATTATTACATTTTGCGTCGAGATCAACGCAACATGTAATAACGCAAAATGTAAAAACACGATTTTTAGAGTATTACATTTTGCGTTATTACATTTTGCGTCGAGATCAACGCAAAATGTAATGACTTCCTTTTTCGTTGTTACATTTTGCGTTATTTTATTTTTGCACTGAAGACAACGCAAAATGGGATAAAAAATATGTAATAAAACAAAAAATAATTAATTTTTTTGACTGCGTTTAACACAAAAGATTATAAAATTGATTCAAATATATACATCATACATGTAACCAACATGGGAAACACGCTGTTAAAATATTTAGAACTAAAACAATGAGACCAACGTTAGGGCTTTTACGGACATAATTACATCTAAATGTATCGTTTTTCTGACTCTGATTTTAGTTATATTGAATACACTGTACTTAAATATACAGAATTAATTTGACTTTGATTGGCATATTTTTGATAGTCTTATTAAATTTCTAACCAATAACACATATTTAATTACCAAAAATTGACCTTTGGATAACAAATTAGAAGTGCATGTGTTTGTCAAGTGAGGAGGGGCAGGAATAGGGTGGGGTGTTTACTTCGTAAAGTTTTCTTCGTTTACTTCGCCACTGCACTACTGAAAATTGTACTCAATCTGGCTTACGAAAAAAAGTGTGATATTACATTTTGCGTTCCTGCCTTTTGCTTAATCTCGACGCAAAATGTAACAACGCAAAATGTAATAATCCAAAAATCGTGTTATTACATTTTGCGTTATTACATTTTGCGTTGATCTCGACGCAAAATGTAATAACGCGAAATGTTGTAACACAGCAATTACAATTTATTTTTAAGTCAAATGCTGACTGACGTTTTTCATACTCTTTGGTAGTCCATTATTTATACAATTAATTGACGACAGATTTTCCCCTTATTTCCCGATCATGTCAAGGAGCACACGTAGGGTGTGACCGGTCGGCAGGAGATGCTCACTCCTCCATGGAACATGGCCCCTCCTCCGATGATTTGGAGGTCCCCGTTTGCTCTGCTCCTATGTTGTATTGTTGAAAGACTTTTTGATCTTGAATATTGTTTGTTATCTCCATGTGTTTCATTTCAGTCATTTGCCGATTCGATTCCAGTGAACTGATATGTACACCACGATTCTAAAGCGCGCCTCTAACACCATAAACAAAAAATATATTCTTCATTATTGTTATTTCTAAAGCTTAATTATGTAAGAGATAAGTGCTCGATTAAAAAGTAGAATAAATATAAACCGATATTTTCAATTTCACAGCTTTCAACTGATGAATTTTTCATTTTCTTCAAAAGGGAGAAGAATACATTTTGAGTTCATAAAGTCCTCAAACCGTATACTTATTCATTTTGTTTTACCAGTCAAAATAGCGGAAGAACATATTGAATTTTCATTTAGACTGGAATCGTAGGTTAGGGGAACTCCTTGATTAATTTGACAAACGTCTGTGTGTTTCCCAGCTTTGGTATTTTGATTCAATTGATAAGAACAATAGTACTAAATCAAACGTCACGCTCGGCACAGATAGAGACACTCCAAGTCTACGTAACAAACTGTGTACTCCATAAACTCTGTATTAATCAGAACCATACAAAGTTCCCGAAATAAACGACATTGCACATGTTTAACCTTGAAATTCACTTGTTAAAAATTTGATATTTCTCTCTATATATTAAAAAATATGACATCGATAATGCTACAAAGTAGTTATTTTTTAATTAATCATTAATTTTGCATGACCCCCCCCCCAAAAAAAAAAAAAAAAATTACGTTAAAATAAAAAAAAAAAAAAAAAAAAAAAGAGAGCTGTATAAAAAAAGGGTCTTTATTAAAGAATTTCCGTTGTTTATTTTAGGTAACAATGAAATTCCTGTGCATCTTGTTGCTTCCAGCAGTCTTTGCAGCTGGTATGTTAGTTATATTAATTACATGTATTACATGTAAGAATATTTCTATTTTGATAAATTGGAGAAGTTTTATTACATTCGACTTATTTTCCATTTCAGTTCCAAATAGAAGAATGCTGTTTGACTGTGAGTAAATTTCAAAGTACATGTTTTAAGTAAATAAGAAAAGGAAACTGTGTTAATTAGTCACTGAAAATTATGTTATATAAAAGTTCAGAAGGGAAGAAAAAAATATTTGTGTAATTCAATCGTGCAAATTTTTTGAACAAGTAGATACAAAAGTAAAAAAAATTCGTTTCTGCCAAATTATACATACATATATATTCTATCTATACGGAATTACATGGAGAGGAAATTCATTGACTGAGCAAAAAATATTTTGACATTAAAAAGTTATTTTGTCTCTCAGCATTCTTAAATGGTCAAGAAGCAACAAATCTTATTGACCAGCTTGTGGCCACATTATCTTCTGATGATAGCGAGGCAAAATGTGAACAGGAATGCCACACTCTTATCGCTGACCAAACCTCTTTATTCCAGCATCTCTGTCCATTTATGTGCCACTCGTAAGTGTGTGTTATTTTATGGAGTTTATTGAACAAATTATGATAAATCTCGATGAAAATCAAATTGGTATCACTTTAAAAATAACAATTATTAAATATATAGCTTATATGACTTTTAATACTTAATGTTAAATAATGTTCTTAGGCAGATTTTTCTTCTGTCCCTTTCGTATTTCTAAATTTCAATCCAACTTTTTAATATGCTCATCAACAACTTTCTACCACAGTTAACAGTGCACCTAAACAAAAAGCAAAAATACATGATAGCACAAATAAAATAAGTATTCCTTTTTAAATACAAAGAAAAATCGTGTTTTTAAATCGTTTCTATAATTGTAGAAATGTTATGGCTCATTAGGGTCAAATGAAATATTGGCAGTTTAGAAAATTTTTTGAAATGCAATATAAGGATAATATTTTTTGCCATATGCAATTTTTTTGAAAATTATGCCTGAAAAGATTATTTTTATTTCAAATTTCATTTAAAATAAACCAATCAAAAGCGAAAGCCATGATATGTCTTTATTAGTGCTCAATTACGACACTCATAATACCATGCTCTCCTTTTTCGGAAAGAAAATGTCTAAAATCACATATTTTTCGAGAGGTCAAATTTTCGTGGTTTGTGGAAAATATATTGGTTTCTGAGGATTCGATTTCGTAGTAGATGAATCGTTCAGTGGTTATATAATTGATAAATTGCATTTCGCTGTAGATATGAATTCTTGGGTCTCTTTGTACCTCTTTAACCTTAAAAAAATAACCGCAGCGAAAATAAGTGACTTCACAATAATGGACGTGTTTGTTTCAATCTTAAAATAATAATTTTTAATACAGTGCCCAGCAAGCCTTGGCTGGAATTCACCACACAGATCCCGCTACTGGTGCTCCAGCAAAGAGAATGCTCTTTGACAGTAAGTGCATTATGTTTCAGAACACTGCTTGTCATTTATTCAAAAGTGAATTTTAGCAAATAGTCTATCCCATAGAAGGTTGAATATTTCATTATGGATACTTAATACTTATAACCACTGGTTTTGAATCCTTCTTTCAAAACGTTTTAAATGTATCAAAACTTCTATCATATGTTTGTATTTGAATATTATTTAATAAAATTTTATCTTTTAGAGAAATAAGAAGTCAAGATATCAACAAATCAAAATTTTGCTCAACGTCTTTTCTTATTTTAAAGTCTTTGATCTTTGTTCATCACTATTTGACGCCTTTTTATAGGTGATAAAAGATAGTAATGATTGATTCAATCTTTAGGAAAACAGTTAAAGTGATATAAATATATTTCTACAAATAATTCATATACTATTTATTATCTAGCATTCCTGAACAGCCAGGAAGCTCATCGCGTGATCGATCAGCTGGTAGAAACCTTAGCAACCGACGATAACGAGGCTAAATGTGAACAGGAATGCCACATCCTGATCGCCAGTCAGACCTCACTTGTCCAACATCTTTGCCCCTTCCTGTGTCATTCGTAAGTTGTGAAGACTTTAAGAAAGTTTTATACAAAATGTACTATGGTTATGAATTCTTAAGAAATACCTTGCATAAGGTACACGAAATATACTAAGATGAAACATGTGGAGATAACGAATAGTATTTAAGATCAAAAGTCCATAAAACAATTCAAAATAGGAGCACAGCGAGCAAGGGCATCCAAAACATCACAGATTTGATCAGGTGCCATGGAAGATTCCCAGTCGACAGGGGGAATAACTCCAGCTAAAAAATTATTTTAAAAAAATTAAACCAGGAGTAGAGCAAACATGGACCTCAAAAACATTAGAGGTGGGATTAATTACCATAGGGGGTGGATATTCCCTTTTGATAGACAGCACCCATCGTGTGCGCCTGTCATGATCGGGAAATGACGGAAAAATCCGTCGACAATTCAAAGTGGAAATAATGGTCTAGAAATAATATGAGAAACGTCAGTCAGCATTTGACTAAATGAAAGATTGTTTTTGCCGGCATGTAATTGAAAAAAAGTTGCATGATTATGTTTTCTTTCAGAGCTGTTAATGCCTTGAATAACCTTCATAGCCCCCAGACCGCTTCAACATCCCCAGCAAAGCGCATGCTCCTTGACAGTAAGAATTTCTTTACTTATTCACCTAAGAAATTTGAGATTTAAAAAAAATGCTGCAAATAAAAAACACTGATTTTTATTTGATGTGTAATCAGATTTAAAACAAAAATGAGTAAAAGTTCTCATAATGTTGATAAACGAAATTGATGAATAAATATCCACTGCAAATGGTGAAGCCGAAACTTTTCTTGGTGCCTCTTTGTATACATAAGTTGAAGAAAATTTTCCTTAGAACGCTTAGGTTAAGAGAATGTTTTGCGCTTGCTTGCATAATGTACTTATAAAAATACATGTACAAGACTTTTGTAAAGAAGAGTTAATTTCAACCCTTACAAACACTTCTGTGAAATTTAGTCTTTTTCATTATTAATTATTAATTATTCTCCTCAAATGTTGTCAGCTTTCCTGAACACAGAAGAGACCTCCAAGATCATTGACCAGCTGGTGACAACTCTTGGATCAGATGACTCCGAAATTGCCTGTGAGAAAGAATGCCACGTGCTCATCACTGACTCTACTTCCGTTTTCCAGCATATGTGTCCTTTCTTATGTCACTCGTAAGTCAACAAAGAACGCAATTTTATTATTTTTTAGTTGTTTTTCCATTGCAATACCACTGCTTTAATTTTTCTTAATGTCATTACTTATATAAGCAAAAAATAAGGAAACAAGGGAAAAAAACACTTGTTTAGTGATTTGATTTCAATTTGTGTTTAAAGAGCTCAGGCCATCATTAACAACTTTCACCATGCACCAGCACCAGCCACTTCTGGCACAGTACAAAAGAGATTTCTAGTTGACAGTAAGTGGTTATATTTGTATATATTGATAAATGTATTTTGTTTAAGATTTCCACACACACATTTATTTTAGTATTGAATTGGAAATTTCATTTTGGTTCACTTCATGCTTTGAGAGGATCCCTGTTGAGTAAAATGGTTCGTATCAGAGATATACGGAATTTAATTCAATATCAAAATTATATACACCAAACATTTTTAACGAATACAAAAATAAACTACTCTTCTCCATATTAATTTAAGAAGAAGTGATTTATTTTTTAATTTTGTCCTTTATACTTTCGAAATGTAAATTAAATAGAATTTATAAAGACACAAACTGAAAACTTTTTAATCTTGCTCTTCGTTGTTCATATTAAGAGAAAATTTAAGTACACGTATATGTCTACATAACAATTGATTTTATTCAGTTGAAATCAATTTCTGCAAAGATCTGTTTATATTCAGTGAATATTAAATTGATAATCTGACTTCATTGCTCTGTTTTAAAGCTTTCTTAGCCAACCCCGAGGTCAACGTCTTGGTAACAAGTTTGGTGGCTGTCCTCGGATCAGACCCAACAGAGCAGGCTTGTGAAAACGAATGTGTCACCATGATTCATGCTGACAACGTCCTGCACCATCTCTGTCCGTTTGTCTGTCATTCGTAAGTTTCTTTATTGACATATATTTGCACAGTTTTGAACATGTATTATTTTTGTGTAAATATTAATATGCGTTTGAATTTACAGATTCCAGCAACTTGTGTCAAAGGTTCACTTGAACCAGCCAGCTGCTAACCCATCCAAGAGGTTCCTTATCGATTGTAAGTAATTAAGACTACTTTCATTAATAAATACTTAATGAAAGATTTGCGAAACAAAGCGAACGATTATCACTGTCGTACTACAAATAATTGGTGATTATTAAACATGAGAGTGTACAAAAAATATGTGCATCTCTTTCATATTAATAAGCTGTACAATTGCTTAAAAAGACTATTAATAATTGTCTTTAAGCTTTAATGTATGGGGTAGCTTGTTTTGCATTAAGAGTTTTTTCTTTACTTTAAAGCCTTTCTGAACAACCCAGAAGTTAATGTTTTGGTCACCAGCCTCGTTGCCACTCTTGGATCTGATCCAACAGAACAAGCCTGTGAACAACAATGCGTAACAATGGTTCATGCCGATAATGTGCTGCACCATTTGTGCCCATTTGTGTGCCATTCGTAAGTGCATTATAAAAAAAGTTCAATACGTTCGTTTCTAAGCACACACAGCCTATACAAAATTAATCATTTTCTTTTGCAATGTATTGAGACTTATGTCCCATCATCTATGGATATGAGAAACTTAATGTAGCTCTCTCTGTAGCAATTAGTTGTATCTTTATCGTATTTGCACTATGTCAAATATCTGGCCATCTTATGAATGAGTGGTTGCAATCTTTAAAATGAACAATTTGACTTAAGAAAATAAATGCTATTCTATCTTGTTGAGATCAAATTGATTTCTAGAATTTTTAGAAAAGGTACACATTCCTTAGTTAGTGATGAACAAAAAAATATTCAATTCAATTACCTAGAATAAAGCTACAAATCCAAAAGATGATTGAATACGAGTTAGAAAACATAATTATGTATTTTTTTTACAAAAAAGATTCATCCTTCGTTGCATTCATAAAATTTCAATTTTACTTCAGATTCCAGCAATTAGTACAGCAGGTCCACCTTTCTCCAGCAGCTTCCAACCCAGTAGCTTCCAGCCCAGTACAGAAACGATTCCTTATTGATTGTGAGTTTCAAAAACTGTGTTGCTTTTTTAACAGTATGTCTGTCGAGATTTAAATCTGAGAACTGCTAAAACAGTATGGTAATTATTTAATATGGCTGACCATTGTCAATGTAAAGGATTTATAATTATTTAATAATGGTTGACTATTGTCATTGTAAACGATTTATGTCTTACATTGAATAAAAAATACGATCACAATATAGTGAAAAATATGGACATAGATACTACTGCTTACAATAGGGCTGTTTCCGTTACTTTTATCAATAAATACTTAATAAAAGATTTGCGAAACAAAGCGAATGATTATCACTATCGTACTACGAATAATTGTATTAATTTTTTTTTTAAACTGGTGCTTTTTTAAAATGAGGCTGTACAAAAAATATGTGCATCTCTTTCATATTAATAAGCCGTACAATTGCTTAAAAAGACTATTAATAATTGTCTTTAAGCTTTAATGTATAGGGTAGCTTGTTTTGCATTAAGAGTTTTTTCTTTACTTCAAAGCCTTTCTGAACAACCCAGAAGTCAATGTTTTGGTCACCAGCCTCGTTGCCACTCTTGGATCAGATCCAACAGAACAAGCCTGTGAACAACAATGCGTAACAATGGTTCATGCCGATAATGTGCTGCACCATTTGTGCCCATTTGTGTGCCATTCGTAAGTGCATTATGAAAAAGCTTATTACGTTCGTTTCTAAGCACACACAGCTTATACAAAATTAATCATTTTCTTTTGCAATGTATTGAGACATACGTCCCATCAACTACGGACATGAGAAACTTAATGTAGCTCTCTCTGTAGCAATTAGTTGTATCTTTATCGTATTTGCAGTATGTCAAAGAATCTGGCCATCTCATTAATGAGTGGTTGCAATCTTTAAAATGAATAACTTGCCTTAATAAATTAAATGCTATTCTATCTTGTTGAGATCAAATTGATTTCTAGACTTTTTAGAAAAGATACACAATCCTTAGTTAGTGGTGAACAAAAAATTATTCAATTCAATTTCCTAGAATAAAGCTACAAATCAAAAAGAGGCTTGAATACGAATTAGAAAACATAATTATGTATTTTTTTTTTTTTTTACAAAAAAGATTCATCCTTCTTTGCATTCATAAAATTTCAATTTTACTTCAGATTCCAGCAATTAGTACAGCAGGTCCACCTTTCTCCAGCAGCTTCCAACCCAGCAGCTTCCAGCCCAGTACAGAAACGATTCCTTATTGATTGTGAGTTTCAAAAACTGTATTTCTTTTATATTATTATGTCTGTCCAGAATTAAATATGAGAACTACTAAAACAGTATAGCAATTATTTAATAATGGCTGAGTATTGTCAATGTAAAGGATTTATAATCATTTAATAATGGTTGACTATTGTCATTGTCAACGATTTATAAGTCTCACATTGAATAAAAAATACGATCACAATATAGTGAAGAATATGGATATAGATAATACTGCTTACAATAGAGCAGTTTCTGTTATTTCCCGATCAAATCAAGGAGCATGATTGGTCGACAGGGGGTGCTCACTCCTACATGGCACCTGCTCTAATTTCGTATTGTTTCATGGAAGTTATGGCTTGAAAACTGTGCCTTATCTCCATATATTTCCTTTGATAGCTCTCCTAAACAACCCAGAAGTCAGTGTGATCGTAAATTCACTCGTCTCGACCCTGGGATCTGATCCCACTGAAGCTGCCTGCGAATCCCAGTGTACCAATATTGTCCACGCAGACAATGTCATGCATTTCTTATGTCCACTTGTCTGTCATTCGTAAGTTTCTTTCTACACTGTATACAGGGACATTTTTGCCCCCATTATTTTCACCCCTTTCACCCAATTCCTTTTGGGCGAATTTAAAAGGGACGTATTCAAAGAAAAAAAAAGGATAATTCCTTAAACAGAATTATCAGTGGGCGGGTTTAAAAAGGGGCAAAACTGTTTTCACGTGCGAAAATAACACATGGCGAAAATGCTCCTCTTTACAGTACTCACTGTGCTAGAAATTTAAAATTGAAAATGAAGCTTTTTAAAAAAAAAGAAAATAAGAGATTAGATAAGTAGCATATTCTCATGATTTGTTTTTATGTTTTAATTCTTAAACATTATATATATTCATCAAGTACAGTATCATTCATCAACAAATTTCACTAAATAAAAGACGAAATTGAATTTCCTATTTTATTTTGTCCTTTTTTCACTTTTATTCTTTATGTTCCTTTTTAAAAAAGAAATGAAAACTGAATATTTTGAATTTTGTGCAAAAAGTGTCGATCATTTGGTAGCATTCTACGTTGATATTGTATTCATGCTTTTGAACATCTTATTATTGTTGATATTTTACTCTTTGTTTTATATACTGTGTTATTGACATTCTGATTTTCTATTTCTTCAGGTTCCAGTCCTTGGTTCAAAAGGTGCATGTTAATGCCCCAGCACAATAAAACACTTGTTATGCAAAGTTATTTGTATATGCTTTATATGTTGTTTATAATAAACATTTTTTATGGGGTAATTTTTTTTTCTTTAAAGATTCTGTTCAGTACAAATGCAATGGAAACAATATTCTTGTCAAATATGCTTGAGTAATTCTGTAAAAATCATAATCACTTTAGCTTATATTATTATTTGGTATGAATGGATGCGTCCTGACCTCATTTTTGGTCGAAAAGTTAAGTTCTGTGTCATACGGGAAATAGTGAACAAAGGATAATTTGCAAACATGTAAAGGAAGAAAATGTCAAAAACTGTGTTTATGCCATAATTTTGAACTGGCCCGGCGAACAAGGATCTTCCTGATTATACGAAGCGAGTACACTAGCACAATGCTACTATGACTCGTTCCATCAAAAGAAACTAATTTTGAAAGAATTCTTTACTTTTCTAAAATTTAATAATTCTGATAACTTGCCTAAACATTGCTTCCAGATTTAAGTTTAACAGACTGAGTCTAGATCTTTTTAGAATCTTCTATCTATTGAGATTTATTGTATGTCTTATCTTTAATGTCATGCAGAATTCTTCATGACATTCCTGAAAGGTGCCCTGAACTATGATCAATTTTCGATAAGAGTTGTCAATGTCTTATACAATTATAGAAAAAGATTGCATTCAAGCCAATAATTCAATTTTAAGAGATATGGCCTGGAAGAATGCACATGATCTCCTTACAAAAACTATTTTGCCTCCTGCATTAATAAGAAACTTCTGCTTTCCAAACAACTTTTTATTCTTGTTAGACTTATTTTTAGAGGGATTCTTGTCATAATCTTGTTAATTTGCTATGTCACCATCGAAACGTTATTTCCAAACAATGACATTCTTTACAAAAACAAAATTAGAATTAAAAGTGAATACACAAGGATACTTGAACACGCTTTTCGCTGACCGACTTTTTAGTATTGATCATCAGGCCGTTATTTACATACTTCGTTGTTGACGGATTTTTCCGTTTTAACTTCCGTTGTAACTTCATGTACAAATATTTTTTGTTTGGGTGAATGAAGAGAACTTTGCCCGGTCAGCAGCGATGCTCACTCCTCCATGGCACCTAATCCCAACTTTGATGTTTTGGAGGTCCATGGTTGCTCCGCTCCTATTTTGTAATGTTTAATGAATTTTCGAGCTCGAATGCTGTTAGTTATCTCCACATATTTCATTAATTTTAACTTTCATATTTCTTTGAACTGAGTGATGGGAAGGAAGCTGAATTATAAAATGATTACCTAGGGTTAACTGTGAATGTTATGATTAGTATACTGGTAAGATAGCCATACCTCTGATACGCATTGAATAGAAATTACTTGTAAATATTAACATTATTATAATGAAGAAGCACATATAGAAAAACAATTAATTTTAAGATAATATTTGACCAAATTCAAAGGATTGCAAAATTACAAGCTGCATTTCGCTTTTCTCTTTGCAGTGCTAAAACTGCAAGATGAAAGACTTTAATGAGTCTAAAAATGAATCACCATAACAGGTAGCTACAGAACATAAGTATAATGGCTTATTGTATATATTAGGTATATTTATTTTGTCGTTAACCGTAACGCTTAAAATACCGTTATGCAAATAACGAAACGTTCAAATCCTGTACTTATCATAATCGTTATTGAAAAAAGTACATTTTAAAAGCACCAACGTGAGTCATGTAATCTGTGAATTGAATTCAAAACATTACTTTTAATGTTTTGTTTGCAAAGACAACACAATAAATTATTGATAGTCTTCTTCAATTTCAAATACTGAGCAACATGGTAGTTTCATTTTCTTAAAATAATACATCTTTATATTTCTCGCATTTTAATAAATCTTAATTTAGTACAAGCGGTTATGAATTTCACTACATCATTATTAAACTTATTTACTTTTATTGGCATGTTCTAAATGTTCCAAATGGTAGATTGTCTCTAGAAATAACATGATAAAATAGTATAAAAATGAATACAGTAATCAATTTAAACTGTGAATATAATTAGAAAAAAACATAAATATATTGATATACTATGACATAATATATGGAGATAACAAACAGTATTGAAGCTCAAAAGTCCAAAAACAATACAAAATAGGAGCAGAGCAAACAAGGACCTCCAAAATTTGGGATCAGTTGCCATGGAGTAGTGAGCATCCCCTGCCAATAATGACAATAATGACTCAATAAAAAAATAAATAACTGTATATTTCACTGTTGTATCATTCTAGTTTATGGAGGGTCAATATTCCAGGGGATGCATTATTTATAATTATTATTTATATTTATATTTATGCATAAATATGTTTGCAAAAAAAGTTATCATTACAAGGGATAAGTGTGACCCAAGAAATCTACGAACATTGATCAGACAATACCATTGATGATGTTTTTAGTACTTGTATACAATTGTAAATCTTCTTAGAAGCAAAGTCTATATTTTCTCCGTTCTAACTTTTTCTTGGAATAGTAGTATGTCTAGCAGTCGTCATTGCTAAGAGATCACTATTTAAAAAGGGGAATAAAAGTCACTTGAACACTTAAGAGGCTGTCCACCGAAAAACCAGGCAGTATTGTATTAATAGGCGGCACATGGAATGTGAGGAATATTTGATATTTTATTAAAAACAATATCAATGTAGTCCAAAAGGACTAATATAATTGAAGATTTGTTTGAAAATTGTTTATTTAGTAAAATATCCTTGTGTTTTGTGTTTTTGAATTCCCCTATATAAACCATTGAATGTAGGTCAGAAACAAAGAACTGTAATTTCTAATATATTTTTAACAGGACTATAATTCACACTTAACTAAATCTAGAAATATTTCATCTTTTTGTTTAAAAAATAAAATAGGTGGGAAAAGCACTTTTGATAGTAGTTTTCTGGCAAAATATATGGACGTTTTTATGAAATTTTGCGATGCAAGAGTTATCTCCCGTGGCATCGGTTAATCTGCTAAACACTTTTTTTTATCGGAATCCTCGTGAAATACATGTATTTAGAATCGATACACTAAAGAAAATTATTAACCAAAAAATAACTGCTTTGTTTTCAAAATAGAACTCATTTTTGCCTTCAAACGTAATATTTATATAAAAATTGGCTCTATTATTCAGGTTGAATGCACGTTTTCATTGATGTATCAGTGACGTCATATACCTGATTAATATTGCGTCACAATGAAAAAGTTACAAGTTTTCCAGAGAAGTTTGTAAATTTTTTGCGTAAAAAATGTAAAGAAAAAGATTTTTTTTTAAAAATGATTTCTTTTTTTCTGTTTAATTACTCTTCAGAGTGCATTATTCTAAATGTTAATTAATATCTTAATATCAAAATGTATTTTATACACGGGCGGCGTCTCAGCTAGATGACGTTTTGATAAGTAATTTTATACATGTCTGAGAACTAATTTTTTTAACTGATTTACTAGGATATGCGTAAAAATAATTAATGAAATGTTTATAATGAACATTTCTTATAAAATTGGGAATCACTGATGAATGTTTTCGATTTACGCAACATTTAATTCAACGAAGTTGAGATGTTTACTTCATGATATTTGTAAAAACTTAAAATAGATATATTAATCTATGCAGTCAAATTAAAATAAACGTTAATGAAACCAATTTTTAAAAATAATTGATGCCATGACCCCCCCCCCCCCTTGCTTTTTGTTTGCGATTTATCGGCTCTTGAATAATGATACTATATATGAAAGAACTTATTTTCTTATTCATTTAAAATCAAATTTTGTAAAAGAGGAAAAGGCTTTACAGTTGACAGGTAAGAAAAAACGTGGATAGAGTCCAGACTGTACACATAAAAATATTTTCTGTATTCAGGCAAGTTTAATTTCGCCACTGATAGAATATACTCTGTAATTCCTGAATAAATAAGAAAAGAAATTTTACTTGGAAATAAGATAAATAATGAAACTAGAAAGCTGTCTTCTCTCAGTTGTTGCATAATGCATGTACAAAATGAACTACTTTAAAAAAAAAAATACCGAGCATCTAAGATATCAATCAGATGTTTTACATGTAATCTTCATTTTAAAAAAAATAGGTAAATTTGACTCCTTTTATTTCTTTCAATATACCTGTTTCAACTGATTTTATTGAGTGACTCAAAAGTTTGTACTTTGTATTCATAATAACATAAGAAAAAAAATCTGTCCTTGTAATGTATTGGGTTTTATAACGTAATGAAAATTGGATATTGCATTCAAAAATTTACTTGCTAAACTCAAATTTGGACCATATAATTTTTTGTCAAGAAGTATAAATTGGATTCTTATTCATTAATAAAATAAAAGATAAGAGTCTACGCTATAAATAATATCCATTGACACATCCAGCTCTTGAGTATCTGTTACAAATAAAACAAAATAAAAACGTAGTATTTTTTTTACCCTCATGTTGACCTTTTTGCACTTAAAATAAAGCATTTACCAGAAATAGGACTAGAGGAGCACTAAAAAAATTTTTGATGTTGTCAAGTGTAAACACTTGCTTTAAACAGTCTACATGCCTGGTTTCTCGTGGACTGCCTCTTAACTACTAAAAATATTACATTGATATTTTATTTTTAGAAACAGTAGAACTAGTAGTTCTCAATATATCGATTACAATTTATTGTATTGATAATAAGCTCTGATAATGCTGTCGTTGCTTATCAGTTTTTTTCGTATTGATAATACGCCGCAATTTGAAAATAAGACGGTTTTGAAAGGCCGCATTTTCTTACCAAAACTTAAAATAAACCGCGGCTTATTTTCGAAGTTCTAGGCTATATAATAAGCGCGTTAAAACAAAGCAAAGAATGGGAACGTCATTGAACGACATGGAGCACCAAGCTGCTTATATTTATGTGTGCAGACAGGAAAATTCCTAAAAATAGACTAAAATGCTTCCAGATGCTACTGGAGATTCCAATGGTAGTAGCTTTAAGAATGGAAGGGTAAACATTTTTAATCATCAACTCCTGCGATATCTCAGTACTCCACTTATCGCATGGATTTTGCAT